TTAAAATTGATAAAAATACTTAACTATTTTTGTTTAATTCATTTTCAACTATATAGATAAGGTTCTCCAATGATTATCAAAGAATTAAGTTGAATTAGCTATATACATTTTCAATCATACTTTATTGTACTGAAAAATTTCACGTCATTTTGCGACTTGAGCCTGTTCTTTTAATGCTATTCTAAATACCAATAATAGTACATTTTTGGTACAATTATTGCTATGCTGCTAAAATCTCTTAATTTTTATGTTCTTTAGAATAAATTTATAACTTGTCTTTGTATTGTTGATTAATGCATACTAACCGATACACGTTAAACTTTTAAGTTTTTGGGATAATTATATTTGTCATGAATCATATTCTATAATTAAGCTTCTCAACGAAAAGATAGATACCACTCTTTTAATTTTAAGACTAAAATCGTTTTAAAACGACCTTTGCTATTATTTCGTTATAATCTATATATGGGACCTTTGCAATAGAAAAAGGGGGAAACGGTTGGAAAAAAATAAAAAATGAGTTAATGCTAAATCTGAAAATATTTTGACCTAAAAATCATATTTGGCATATAAAAGTAAAATTGATTTTTCTGGCACTTTGTATGCAAAGGTCCCATATATAAATGTTTCTGATCCAATAGATTTCAAGCTGAAAATCCAAAGTGATCTGGTTTTTATTAAAAAACTTTTGATAGTTTTTTGCTTATTATAACTATCAAAAGTTTTTTTTTTTTTACATGAAATACAGTAAGTTTTATCAATAACTTTAAGGGCATAATGATAGATTCATTTTTTTCGTGAATCCACATGGATCATGTTAATCTATGTTTAATCATTACGCCCTAACTGTATTTCGTTTAGTCAATAAAATTTTCTCCAATAATTTACAGATCTTCTCATTACAAAGTAACTTAAGCTAGCAGAATAGAAAATCTGATTACCTATTTGAATATTATAACCATCGAAATATAAAATTGTGTTTTCGTTGGTGGAGATATTTTGTTCTAGAATTATGAACGTTTTATCTATCTTGATCAAAAAATAAATAATACGGATACATTTCTTATTTTGGGATCCCAAAACCTATTGGGCCTTTTATTCTAACAAAAAAATAAATACCGTGATTTTATATATATAGTTCAAAGTTTTGGTATTTTCCCTGAATGTAAGAAGTCAATTTATCAAATAATTGAGGTTTTTTCATAATTTTCAATTTCATTTCTAAGCATCTCTTCTTCCAAGAATTAAATAAATTACAGGAATAATTTTATAAAGATAAAGCAGCAAAAAAAAAAGTGAAGGTGAAAAAAGTTTGTATCATAAAATTTTTCTTAAAAACAGGTTTATTTATATATATATATTTTTTAGGTGAATTATAAAGAAAGAAATACAATAAAGGAATAATCTGATTTGTTCCTTTCATTGATAATTTTCGTTTTCCACTTTTTCTTTCTTCTTTATGAAGTTTCATGCTTAAACAAAAGACGTATGAAATGTTGTTTATGCCATGGTTTTCTGTTAATAATATTAATCTCTTTGAGGGCCATATTTTTGGCAAAAAATGTGGTAATAGCAATATTATGTAATCATTGTAAATGTAATCATGAAATCATCACGTAAACCTTTTATTTGCATCTTTTTGTGTATTTCATACACAATCTTAATTTCGGGTATCCAAACTTGGTGGTTCGTTCAATGGAAAGTTTTATTGGACCCGACAATAATGCCATGACATCATCATTGATGATGCCGCAGCAAGGCCTTCGCGTGTTACGAGATGCGGGCGTGATGTAACAAATTACAAATTTAGTAAAATGATAATAAGAAAAACCATTTTGCGAACAATTGTTTCATTGGGAATTTTTATATTTTTATTTTCTTGCTTCTAATTTTAACCAATTATTCGAATGTTTTTCCGAAAATAAGAAAAAATAAAAAATAAAAATAAAAAAGGAAAAAAAAAATAATCATTTATTTATAATCTCATAACTCCTCCTTTAAAGTAAACCCTTCATTTTTTTTTTTTTTTTTAAAAAAAAAAATTTAAAATTTTTTTTTTGTATCCATGGCCGGTGCATTACCAAAAGGATGGGAACAACGGGTTGGTTTTCCTGAAATGATTTAATTTTCTCATAAACCCTGATTATTTAACCTAATCCCCCCCCCTTTTTTTTTCCTCCTCTCCCTTAAAAATGAAAATTAGTTCGATACGCAAACAAAACAATCTTATTGTAAGTTTAAAATTTAATTCATCTGGAATCTAAAAAGTAAACGAAACAGCAAAATAATAATCATTTATTAATGCAGTTGTTAACATAAACACAAACGAGAAAACAACCGTGAGTAAGGCTTTCTCTCTCATTGAGTCCTAAAGGAAATCCCAATCCAATTAAAAATGCAAATGAAAATTTTTTAATAGCATGACCCCCGTTTGCCACTGTATCCGACTCCAAAACCACGAAATCATTACTCTCTACCAACGCCGGGTCATAATCCCGTACTTTCCCAGCAAACGTCGCAACCGTATCATGCAAATTCACTTCCGAACCATTCTCATGCTGCAAACCGTTCAACTCCAGCAGCCTCTTATTTGAGTAATGCTAATTTATCTCCTCAATCATCTCCTCAACAAACAGAAAGTATAATTTCGGCACCTCAACATTGCGCTTCGGGTTCTTCTCTCTTAGAACAACCATATTCCCCTTCTCAAAAAAAAAATAATAATATAGTTGCTCCACATACGCCAGTGACCCATCGTGCTAATGATGTTTACACGCAACAAACTGTAAAGCATCAACCGCAAACTGTTCAAACCATCGGTGGGCAAACACCAAATGTTGTATATGTTCAACCTCAACAGCCCGCACAAAAGGTATATGTTCCGCAAGGAGGAAATCAAGTAACATATAGTATATTGTCAAACCAACAACAACCTGCACAAAAGGTATATGTTCCGCAAGGAGGAAATCAAGTAGCATATACTGTAGCATCAAATCAACAACAGCAACCTACACAAAAGGTTTATGTTCAACAAGGAGGAAATCAGGTAGCATATACTGTAGCATCAAATCAGCATCAGCAACCTACGCAAAGGGTTTATGTTCAACAAGGAGGAAATCAAGTAGCTTATAGCGTAGCATCAAATAATCAGCAACAACCTACGCAAAAGGTTTATGTTCAACAAGGAGGAAATCAAGTAGCATATACTGTAGCATCAAATCAGCATCAGCAACCTACGCAAACGGGTTATGTTCAACAAGGAGGAAATCAAGTAGCATATACTGTAGCATCAAATCAGCATCAGCAACCTACCCAAAAGGTTTACGTTCAACAAGGAAATCAAGTGTTATATAGTGTAGCATCAAATCATCAGCAACAACCTACTCAAAAGGTTTATGTTCAACAAGGAGGAAATCAAGTAGCATATAATGTAGTATCAAATCAACAACAGCAACCTACGCAAATGGGTTATGTCCAACAACAAGTAGGAAACCAGGTAGCATATAATGTAGTAACAAATAAGCAAATTAACTCTTATCCCACAATGAATGCATCAACAGTTGTTGGGTATAAAGCTTATACTGCTGCAGCAACCAACATGGCCACTCCTACTGTCGTTTCTCAAAATCCACAAAATACATCGGTCTTAACAGGACAACAACATAACGCCACAACACAGCAAACGGTTACCATGTCTCAACCTACAGGAGTAAATGTACAGGGACAGCAAGTTAATTTGTATGCTAATCAACAAACAATCGGACAAAATAATATTAATTCATTAAATAATATCGCTAATCAAAGTAAGTACTTGTATGATTTTTAAATTTTTTTTTTATTTTTTAACTAAATTTTTTCAACTTATCTATAGGTTGTGAAGCGATGTTTGATGTTGGAAGAAAGGTGTTCGATCCAAAGACCTATTCAAATTTATTCTCGTCAAATCAATACAACCAAAATGTAGTAATTGTTGGTAACAATGCGACTAATCAACCTCAACAAATTTCAATTCAACAAGGAAGTCAGGCAAATGCTGTCCAATTGCAACAATTAAATAACACACTTCAAAACAATCAAAAACTATTGCAGCAACAATTAAGACCAGCAGGTAATCAAATGCTACATCAAAGGCCTACCGGTTCAACGCACCCTTTCTCTGGAGCAATTCGTCCACCACGCACACAAGTAAATACTTCTAACGCACCGCATGCCCACGGTAAAATACCAGGTAAACATGGAAACTTTGGAAAACTTGGAAAGCTTGGGAAACCATATAAGCCAACCAATAATCCTAATAAGCCAGCAAATAATTCTAATAAGCCGGCAAAACAAAATAATCAAACTCAACAGCAGACACAAGATTTTGCGCAAGATGCAACTCAGCAACAGGAAGTTCAAGCTGCCGAACAAAATGAGCAAGCTGGACAAAATGAAGGCGAACAAGTGGAGGATTATTATAATGAAGGAACTTATGAACAAAATTATGAAAATTATCAAGGATTTGAAGATGATACTTATTATCAGGAATATTGTTACAATGACAATACATATGAAGAAGGTTGCTATAATAATGGTGCTACATATGAGGAGAATTATGAAAATACTGCTTATGGTGGTGAATATGTAAGTAGATTTGTTTATTATTAAGAAGGCAGAAGTACATATATATTTAAAAATGATTAATATAAAATTTTTTGCGCTACCTTGTAGGATGCGGGTGTTACAAGTGAATTTAATGAAGGATTCGATATAAATTCAATAACAGGAGGTGGGGAAGTTGGTGGTTTTGATATGAGTTCAATATTAGGAGGTGGAGATGGTGGTGGTGGTGGTGGCGGTTTTGATATGAGTTCAATTTTAGGAGGTGGTGGTGGTGGCTTTGAAATGGGTTCGATTTTAGGAGATGGTGGTTGCTTTGATATGAGTTCCTTAGCTGAGAGTTTGATATGAGTTCCTTAACTGAGAGTATTGATTTTTAAATAATATTTAATCATATATTTAATACATCTAATGGAAATAACTAGCCAACACCCGCGAGATATATGCACACCCAGAAGTTACTAAGTAGGCTGGAGCTTTGATTTTCGCAATTCTCTATTTGCCACACCGAGCTTATCGTTTAAATTTAGAGACAAGTTTATTGGTTAGCAATAAAAATCATCACGATGATAACCATCGATTCTGTTTTAATATCATTCTTTTAATAATATATTTATGAAATAAATGAATATTAACATCAAATTATTTACAAATAAGCAGATATGACATTTAAATTGATCTAAAGTGTAACAACTAATCTAAATATTTTGTTAATATATCATTTACCAATTTAGGACTTGCTTTACTTTTAGTTTCTCTCATAACTTGTCCTACAAGCCACTGATATATATTTTTATTACCCTGTTTATATTGGTATACCTGTAAATTATAATAATTTAATTTTTTTTTTTTTTAAAAAAAAAAATTTTAAGACAAAAAGAATGAGTTCGAAATCTATATAACCAACCTGTTCAGAGTTCTTGGATATAATATTTTTACAAATTGTTTCTAATTCATCCATATTCGTTAATTGTTTCCATCCCTTTTCTTGTATAATATCAGGGGTAAGACGTTTTTCTCCTGATATCATTTGAGCAAGAACCTTCTTTCCTATTTTGGCTTTATATAATAAATTAAGAATCAGCATCAAATTTGAAAGAAAAAATCAAGTTCTGAAATTATACAATACAGTACCTGTAATTTCATCCGTCTCAATGGAATCAATTATGGAACCTAATTGTTGTGTTGTTACGGGATTGTGGTCGAATTTGATATTTTTGATATTTAGGAGACCATACAATTCGTGAGTGATCCAATTCACTACATGACGAGAGTTACGATCTTTTGCTACCTAAAAAGAAAACAAGCCTAATAAACAATAATTTACACAATAATTAACCAAAAATAAAGGTTATCGACATTACTTCCTCAAAATACTCTACACCACCATTTTCACGCATTAATGACATAACATCATTCAATGAAATGTGATATTGGCTCATCAATCTTCTTTTACGGTCATCGGGTAGCTCTGGTAGACTATTATATATGCGTGTAAGATAATCCTAAAATATTGATTATTGATTAACTTATGAGACATTAACAAATCAACAAACTACAAATATATATACGATACCGTACTTTAGTAAGTATTAATGGAGGTAAATCTGATTCCGGCATGTATCGATAATCGGTATAAGTCTCTTTAGTTCTCAATCTAAAAGTCTGGTTGGTAGCAACATTGTAACCTCTAGTTTCTTGAATGACAGTTCCACCTTTATTTAACTCGGCAATTTGGCGTTCAATTTCTACATCTAACAAAAACAGTTTTATATTAATAACGAATTCAAAATAATTGATGAAAGTTAAAAACTGGTGTTACCAACAGCAGCCATTAAAAATTTAACGCTATTTAAATTTTTGATTTCACATCTTGTACCAAAGGGAGTTCCCGGCTCATGTACAGAAACGTTTACATCGCATCGTAATGACCCCTTAAAATTGAATAAAACAAATGAATTTTTAAAGTCATCAAAAAAATAGAAATAAATTGTCAATAAACTAACTTCTTCCATGTTTCCATCCGAAGACCCTATGGCTCGAAACAATGCTTGTAACTTACGAACAGCGAGACCAGCTTCTTTTGATGTTCTCATGTCAGGTTCCGTCACAATTTCCATTAGACCGGTTCCCGCACGGTTTAAGTCAATTAACGCCATCCCAGGTCTTACATCATGTATACTTTTTCCCGTATCCTATAAAGAGAATAAATGATTTAACAATGTTCTTGAAAATCCGAATAAACTATAATAACTTACTTCACCTGTTCGATTTGAATTTGTTTTATTCTAATATCTTTTTCGTATTCAAGTCCATCTAAAGGTGACACCGTCACTTTTCCACCAAGGGATATTGGAGCTAATTTAAACCATCATAAAAGTTAAATTCTGTTGACATTAATCATCGATAATCTATTAATAGTTGTGCTTGCTTACCATAATGTTGTGTTATTTGATACCCGGCTGGTAAATCTGGATAAAAATAATGCTTTCTATCAAAGGATGAAACCAATTGAACATTTCCCGATAACGCTAGAGATGTTGCAACCGTAAGATCTATACATTTAGGATTTAAACGCTTAAATAAAAATAAAATAATAAATTAATTAATACATTTAATTTGTTCTTGAATAAATTATTCTATAAAAAATTTATGCGTAGAATTACCGGGATGGTTCCCGGAAAAGCAGCATCAATCACTGATACATTTGTATTAACAGGTTCGTTGAAGGAGGTAGATGATGCTGATTTCATCATTGAAAATTTTCAAACTTTTATTAAATTTGCTAGACTTCATCACAGTAATTACAAGATAAAAAGTACTCCTATTCTAGATATGATAATAACCACCCACTAGAAAATAACTTCTTCTTTGAATTTATTTGAGCGTGAATTTCTAACCCAATAATCGCTTCCCATTTTTCTCGGTAAAGATTTTGTGTAGAAAATTTTTTCAAATGAGTCGCGTTATTTTGATAAAGATTTATAATAATGTTATTAAATTTGGATTTTAAGGTAGTTGTGAACATTTTAAATTAAATTAAATAAATGAGATTCCTGAAAAATTTTTTGATCGGCCCTATTTATGTTGCTCATTTTATGATTGGAATTTGGCCAGCACTATCAAAATTGTAATTTCAAATTATTGTCCTAGAAACACGAGTAATATTTCCAAAATAGTTGATCTATTTACCAACTTTTTTTAAAAAAAAATAAATCAATTAGTTGAACAATTTTAAATAATGACCATTTCAAGCGCCAACGAATTTATAACTTTATTAACGAACTTGGGCTATCCGAATATATCAAATTTACAACCAAAACAAATATTGTGGGCGTATGAACATTTAGAAACACGTAATATACTCGATTGGTTATGTACAAATATCGATGTTGAACAAAATGTTATTGACATTAAAGATGATTGGATGTAAGTTATTAAAATACTTAGTTTCTTCTTTTTGGAGGGAATAGAGACGCGTTCGGTTTATTTACAGAAATATGTATTGTTAAATTGACATTTTTTTTTTCAGTAACCCTTCCATTTTAATGAAGGAACAGTATGTATATGATTTAAATTACTTATACAAATGATTGTTTTTGGATTTGATGATTTTGATCGTCTCGTTATATGATAGAAAGGAACTAGAAGACATTGAAAATGAGATCAATTCTGGACGGCAAACCCGAGATCATTTATTGCGTCACCATGATATACTCAAGTAATTAAAATTATTTATTTATTTATTAAAATCACTTTTTATGCTATTTTTTTTTTACTAAATCAGCTCGTTAAACATTAGATGCAATTTAGAAAATATTGAAGGACAGCTTGCAGATTTAAAAAGAATTAGTCGTGATCTAGATGAAAAAAATGAAGAAATCGACAAGCAAATTGAGCAAGATTCTGTCAAGGTTTTGGTTCTTATATTCAAATTCCTCCTTTTGTACTTAAATTCGATAATAAATATTGACATTTTTTTAATAAAAGTTTGATATAGGCACGGCAGCGATGATGACAACAATTTCCGAATTATTATCAGAAAGGAAATTATCTGAAGGAAAAGGTAAATACACGCGTCTGACGCATTAATTTCATTACGTACTTATTCCTTTATTGAATTTTGTAGGGAAGCAACAGATGAATTTGATATATCAGTGTGCTAAAGAGATTACTGAAATAATGAACATAGATCAATCATTTACACACGAATTGCAACAACTTTGTGAGATGTTTTTTTCAAATGTATGAAATGATATTTTATATTTTAGACAAATTTCTTGTTAAAAGTAATGCAATCAAGGAATTCTTTTAAATATTCTTTTATATAGGATATTATGAAAAAGCTCGAATCATATAATTTGGCTGATGAAGTCGCACGTCTCAAGAACTTATATCCAATGACACAGCTCAAATATATAAAAGCTTGTACTGAATTCAAATACTTTTCAACATTTTTGCAAGTGATTCAAAATGAAGCTACGAGAATTTATTCCTTTGTTCCTGACTTTAATGCCTTAAAATCAAATTTGGATAAGAATACGAATAGCAATTCATTACTTAGTAAACAAATCAATTATGTCATGGACTCGCGAATAGGTTCTTCATTAAGTAATCTCGCTTATCTAGAAGTGGAATCTCCAATATTGGCAGCTGATTGTAAAGTTAGGTTACAATCTCAACGAATCGTGATTGATCGGTTAGACTTTGTAGGTCAAAAGTTGCTTTTCACTAGATAACCTCTGTTAATGTATACTGTTGTTGAAATTAACTGTATTTGTTCATTCAGGTTATTGATCAGCTATTAACGCAGCAAGCACGTAATCAATTCGTGGCACAAACCTTTTGCGTCGAAATGTATAATCAGGAATCACTTCATAGAGTATTTTTAAATTTAAATGGAGATTTAGAAAAAAGGATTGAAAACATTAATAAGCGGATGGTAATATTTTCCACTTTACACAAAGCATCTGTTATGAAATTATCCTTTATTATGTTATTAATGTTTTGCATTGAATATTTATCAACAGAACTTTATGTCAGGGGCAGATTTTACAGAACAATCTATCAGTAAAACAGTGATAGAAAGCCACGATGATTTTTTATTATCTTTGAAAAATTTATTAAACTTGGATTTGTGTAAGTAATATATATTATATTTGAAGTTAAGTATTTATTAGCATATTTTATTTAATCTTCAATAATAGTTACGGGACATGCAAAAGAAGAGAAACTTTTACCGTTTACTACATATGAATCTTTAAAAGAAAGATTCGTTGAAATTGAAAATATGAGGAAAACTTCACTTGATAAAATTGAACAAGAGTGGGAATCGCAACAAGAGCTTTTGAAATCTTGGTAATTAAGAATTTTTAGATGTAGTTTGTTCCTAATTTAATGATCTAATATACATTTCCTTAATGTAAAATAGTGTTGAGATCGAGGAGTTTTTGAAATCTTTATTATACAAAGATTCTAAGACTTCTGAGCTCTTACTTACTCCTCAAGTAAGTTGATTATGTTTTTTAAAAAAATATAAATAATGTTTACAAATTCTAATATCTTATCTTATTTAGGAATTGTCGGATTTACAAATTTCCTTACGTATTAAGATAAATCGTTTGCAGCCAAAACTCAATCAAATCACAAAGGTATATATAAGCCAGTATTAGATAGATAAATTTTTTTTCAATCGTAAGTTAATTTTGTTTCACATATATGATAGGAACTGGATCTTCCCGATCATTTGGAATCTAAGAAAAAGTCTTTTATTAGATTCTTTACAGACTTAAGCAGAAGACAAATAAAATCTTAAATGATTAAATAAAGATGGTTGCATTTAATTAAAAAAATTTACTAGCGTTAGATTAAAAGCAGAAACTATTAGTAAATTTATGTTTGCCAAACGATTTGGTAAAACGGGAAATTATCAAGTTATCTTATGTTTGATTCATCAGTTATTCGTCCATTATACTATTCTAGTTCAGTTGGATATTTTTAGATCATTGACGGTATTTTTAACAAATCTACATTATCAGATCAGGAAATAACTTAATTCTTGATGAGAAATGTCTGTTTCGGATTGAATGTTCACTAAAACTTCTCAGTAAGATTTCCATTTAAATAGGATATTCATTTGCAAATAATAAAAATTCAAATATTAGAATCTAAATTTTACTTATTCGAATATCGAAAAATAACCCACCCTCTAAAAAAAGAACCCTCTACAAGACTTACTTTAGGACCCCAATAAAAAAAAAAGAACGTTCCTAAAAAAAATAAAATAAAAACTTTCGAATATATGAAAGCCAATTTTGAATATCAAACGGTTCGGTTCTCGGCCACAATATATGTTACTGGACGAAATTCATACCTTTATTGGACTACAGTGTGAATTTTTAAAGATCATAGAATTCTATTTAATAATTTGCAAGGAACCACAAAATGTTTGTTACCCAAATTTTAAATTGTTGAACTAGTATTAGAGAGTTTACGTTTAATAATAAAAGAATTGAGAAATATTGAAATATGCGAAGTTTGTGAATTAATCATCAATCCCAGATAAGAATTTTAATAGAAGAATTAACTAGATTCCTTCCAGATTTAGTTCAACAGAGATGCATTGTATCCGATGTAATTAAAGGGAAAAAAATTCTATACTTGGAAATATAAAATTTTATAGGTGTCAAATACGCAAATGAATTTTCGATGAGTACTATTTTATGGAAGTGCTCTTTTAAAACTTTTTTAATTCATTTCATTTCCTTCGGTTCGTCGTATTAGCCCAATATAAACGTTTATTTTTTGATGATGTCGGCGTGTCAAGGATATGTGATCTTTAGCAACGATCATTGTTCCTTTGAGAAAGATAATGAACGTTTCCCTAGATAAACTCTTTTGTGAATATTTATCATTGTAATAATAAACAAGCAATTACAATTGGAAATAATAATTCAATAAAATCACACTCATATGTAAACCACTATGTAAACCCATGTCAATAATTCAAAAGTCAAATTTTCAAAATTTTATTGGCTAATTATGTCGATCATAATCCCACAATTGATACTTACTCTTAATGACCGAATGATACATGATAAAATATAAATGATTCAAGGCTCATTACCGTGGTATGATGAGTTTCAGGATGTCCGGACAGAGATTATGCATGAATTCCTCTATATATTTTTAAATTGATTAAAAGATTTTCTCATTCATATGAACAATACAATATAGGAAATTCGTCGGTCTATTGTTCTTTAAGAAATTTCCTTTATCCTTCAATTGTTTTGCTTACAAATTTGTAGGCAATTTTATTTATTAATTACAATTCTTTTTAATTATTTTTAAATATTTAAAATATATTATTAAAAAAATTAATACTTTTATAATAAATTTTAGATATTTTCTAGTAAAAATTAAAAAAAAAAAATGTAATTAACTAGTGATTTTTTAAAGACTAGAGAATGAGAATTATTGTGTAGCGTCTAAAGTGTAATTTAATGCAATACCGAATTTATATAACGCTAATTTGTTAATATAGCATCATATGATAAAAATAGAGTAAAGACATATGTTTATATTACACATAATCTTAAATTTTGATTGGTTAATTTTATAATAAATAGACAAACATTGTATGGTTTTGACTGTAACAAAAGTATCTTTCAGGCAATAAAAAAATAATAAATTATTATAAAAATAATTAAAATTTAAATTTATATATCTTGCTATCTATCAATCTCAGAAATATAAACATATTATCATTTAATATATCTTAATATGATAAATCCAATAAACTAAATTTTATATTTTTGTAATTATTAGTTAATAAATTATTTTTAAAAAAATTGAAAAATTAATATATATTGATAATTATTAATTTTAAAAAATTAAAAATACTACTACAATCAACTCTTATTATAATGAATTTTATATTCTAGATCACAACTTCACTATAAGGTTATAATGAAGATTTTAAGAAATTTGATTGGTTAATTCACTATAATAAGAGTACCGTATAGTCCTGAAAATAAGCACTACCCGAAAATAAGCACCTCCATTTTTTAATATTACCTGAAAATAAGCATCCCTCAAAAAAAAATGTAAAAATAAAAAAATAATTTATTATTCTATTATTGTAATATAAAATTTATTTGAAAATAAAGCTGAATTAATACAAAATTAACTGAAAATTATTATTAACTATTA